GTAAAACTGGAACTACAAATGCTGACTTGTAGGATCTGTATAAACAACAGGCCTAGTGCCCAGCATATGAGTGGGATCCATGGGGTGGGGTGCTCTCACTCAGTCTCTGGGACCTCAGAGGCCAGCACCTGGGGAGAGTCCTCAAAATTCAAAGGAGAAGCACAAATATGACTCAAGCACACTCCCCTAAACACTTTGAGACTGCCCCCAGCCCTAGCTGCCCTCCCTGAGTTGGGCAACAGTGGGCTGTACCCTGCTGTGGGGCCTTATCCCATTCTGGTCTCAGCCCCTTCCTCTCCCCGGCTGGGGGATGTGAGCAGGAATGGCTCAATCAGGATATAATCGTTTTTAATTAACGTGCGGATCATTTCACAGGCTGATCTCCTTGGAGACCAAAGGAAGATGGTCTTTTAGATTTTCTTTTGCCTCCCCCACCCCACCCCGTCCAGTTGAAGGCCATCCCCGGCTTCACCCACCCCAGCCACAACCTTGAGAGCAATACAAAAGCCTGATGCCTAGATTCCTCTTGGGGCCATTATTAGAAGGAAAGTGCTCTCTTTCTTATACACACACATATACACTCAAGCTCTGGGGCACACTCCCCTTCCCTTGAATGAACACATGAGGTCAAAAATTCACAGATACAAGGACACACCTATAGATAAGGCGCACACAGGGTCACATATAGGGTCTCACACACACACAGGCCTGCAAGCACAGCATGTGCCCAAACTGAAAGGCACACACTGACTCCTTAAGAAATACACAAACAGGACCAGAGGTGCACAGATGCACACACAGAGACACACCACAAAACAGACACCCACAGGTAAACACACACAGACACACCATACGTATATACACAGAGATGTGCACACATATGCCTGTGGTAATGCATCCAAGCACAGAGACATACCGTAGAAATGTCCAAATACCCACACTTATGGCAGAGTTTCTCTTAACCTGAACAGCTGGCATGCTGGCAGGGAGACAACTAACAGTCCCTGTTGTCTGATGGGGAGTCAGAGTCACAATTACCTTGCCTGCCACAAGCACCCTCAAGCCTCCAACCTGGGGCTGCCTGCCACCTGCCTGATAGAGGGAACAGTGAAGCCACTCCTAACAGGTGTTTCCTCCCTGACACCCACTGGTCCGGGTCAAGCCTCCCCACCTCTGGCCCCCAAACACCTGTTCCACCTGGCCCTGCAGAGCTCACCCAGAACATACAGCAGTGACCAGCCCCACTGGGAGCCCCATTGCAGGAGCCTCCCTTGTGTGCCCAGAGAGGCCTGAGCGGGGTGGTTTCTCTCTTCCTTCTAATTCTTTTCTTTTCTCTCTTACTGTCTCTGCTTCCACTGTCTTCCTTCCCTTTCCCCCCCCCCTTTCCCAGTGGGGTCTCCTGGAGTCAATTTCCAGTCAGAGGGAGAGGTAAGATCCTGTCTCTCCACTCCTTCATACCACATTCCTGTGCTTATACCTGCCCCAGCTCCTGAATAGATCCAGTGCTAGGTCTCTGGACAAGTAAACTGAAGCACATGTCAGGGGCACAACCACGGACGTCTCTTTGAGTTCTGCAGCCCCACTCCTGGCACTGCAGCTGCTTAGGATCCTCTGCTTTTCATTCTGGAGAATGGGATGGCAAAGTGGAAGGGGAGCTGGGAGGAGGGGCATGCCCGGTGTTGGGGAAACAGGAGGGCTGAGGAGCCTCTTCAGTCAGGCAGCACCAGCAGCAAGCTTGGGATCTCAGTCCCCCTGTGAAATGGGCAAGAGCAGCCTAAAGGACCTCCAGGGACTTTCCCCAGGTACAAAAACCAAAACGGCACATCAGTAGCTGGTTCTTGGCTGCTGCCCAGCCCGAGGCTACTGTGTGACCTTGGGACTCACTACCCTTCTCTGGGCTCTGGTTTTCTCTCCTATCAAAGGAAGGAGGTTGTCAGGTAATTCTTTGCTAAGGCTCCTTTTGGCTCTGGTGGAAGATTCTAGATGGTGGGGAAGGAAGGAGAACAGGGCCCCACTTATTTGGGGAGAGCTAGAGAAGGCTCTTCTCCCTCTGCATGCATGTCGGAGCCTTTAGCATCAGAGCGTCATTTTGAGGAAATCATCTTAAACATCAAGAAAAGCTCTCTACACAAGATACATCCGCTACGTCACTCATCAGGAACATCCAGAATGCTGAACAAAAGGGAATATTAAGCAAATTATGGCACATCCACTTGATTGGAAAAGCCTGAAGACATTAACCCCAGTGTTTATGAAGAATTGGTTACAAAACAGGAAAAGGCTGGCGTTATTACTGGGAAGAAAGCAGGATATACATCTGAATATATAGAAAGCTAACGAAGTCTTTGGGAAACAAATCAACCACCAGGTCAAAAAGGACTGGGAAGAACTACATCAAAATATTAACATTGTCAGAGCCTGCAAATAGCACCAATACTCTTTTTCCCTATTTTTCAGATTTTCTGTGACCCTTATTTTGAAAATGCATATTTCAAAAAGGTTTTTAAAAAAACTGACCAGAAGCCTCCAATTGAGAAACTCTTCTCTTTCATTCATTCATTCATGCACTCCCTACTGACTCATTCAGTCCTGTGTGTGTCCAGCCAGACAGGGCACTGTGAGCTTCTGCTATGTGCCAGGCCCTGGGGCTCTAAGATAGGAAGAAAAGGTTCTTCCAAATGAACTCACAGTCTGGGGAAGGAAAGGCAGTCCACAAGTGACTCTCCACTAAGGGGCTTGTGCCAAGACAGGGCCTGGGGCATGGCAGAAGTGAATCCTGTGGGTTTAGGTCCTGCCCCCTGAGCTTTCCCTGGGCAGCTAGGGTCTCATAGTCCAACCTATAGGTCAGTAACTCACCTCTAATGGCCTTCAACTGGGTGGAGAGGGTTGGGGTCTGGGCAGACCAAAGGTTTGGGCAGAACCAGCCATCTCAGGAGCCTCCCCAACCTGGGCAAAGGGTAGAAGGGGCCTCCCTCTTCCCTCTAGACTCCCCTTCCAGTTCTGCTGACTGTGACTTGTAAGTAACCTCTCTTGCCTCTGGGCCACAAGGCCGCTGCCTGACTGTGTGGCCCTAGGTGGACTCTGATTTCCACCTCTCCCAAGGTCCCTGAACAAGGCACCACTCAGCCCTGGTCCTGTCTGGGCTTGGAAGGGGGAGTACAGGGCCTAGAATCTGCTAGCTCCAGTTAGCCAGAGTCAGGCTGTTAGCTCTTCAGAGGGGCCAACAATGTGTCCCTGCTGTGTGGGGCCTGACAGATTTCTGGGGGAGGGTTAACTCTTTCTATGCCTGGACCAAGAGACAGAACAGCCTGAAAACAATCCAGTATCGCCCCCCCCCCCCAGGGGCCTCCCCTCTTCTCCGGGATCCTCTTTAAGTTGGGAAAGGAACTGCTTTCACCTGCCTGGTTTGCCACCTGGGGTCTCTGGCCTTGGCTCTCAATCCCGGGAAGGGGAGGAGGCACCTTTATCGCCTTGTGCTCCATGCCTGGGAATCCAATTAAGGCTGATTTTCATGGCCTCTCCATCCTCCCAAGCCCTGTCCAGCACTTCACCTCTTCCACACACCCCCTCCTCCCCATCCCCCCACCAAGAAGCAAAAGAATGCGGAGGCTTTGGAAGCCTCTGACCCCGAGGCTCTCTGTTCCGAGTGAGCCCCCCCTCAGAACTGCGGTCCCTAGAAATTTTCTGGACTAGCGCTCCCTTCCCGTGGCCCCAGTGAGAAAAGGAGAAGTTCCCACCGCGCTCTCCCTCTCTTTTTTCCTCCTCAGCCCCTGAGGGAGGGGAGAAGAGCCCGGATCTCTGGGTCACCAGAGCGGCTTCTGCCAAGGATCGCAGGAGACAAACACTTCGTCACACAAGCACAAAACCCTCGAGATCACCTCCTTCAGCCCGCATTGTACAGGAGGGGAGGCGGCTGAGCTCAGAGGGGCCCTCGACGAGCCTGAAGTCACCAGCCAATCACCAAACCAAAGAGGGGCTAGAATCCACGACCCCCAGCCGCCAACTCAAGCCTCTAGCCCCAGCCACGCACACCCCCATCCTCCTCTCCTCCCCGGAGCCATCCCACGTCAACGTCTCTAACCCAAACAAGCCCTCCCCCCGGGAATCCCCCCTCCTCTCGCCCAGGGTCAGCAGCCCCAGAAGGGACTGAGCTACGACCCCCTCCCCCCACAGTAGAGGCGCGAGATTTCATTGTCAGCCTGTCCACTCGACCGCGCGTGAGAAGGAACGCAGGCCAAGGGGGCTCCAGGGCCGGCTCCGGTGTGGGGAGTGGGGAGGGGTCTCCAGGGGAAGTGTTTGAAGCTGCTCTCACAGCTCGGTCCAGATCCGGAAGCCGCTGGAGGGAGGGAGGAAGGCGGGGGTGGGGAGAGCGCGACCTTAAGCACTCGCGGGCTGCGAGGAGGGGCCGTGGCGGCCAGAGGAAGAGCCAGGAGGCGTCAGGGGCACCGAGTCCCCGGGGAGGCCGCGCTCCCGGGAAGTTTCCTACCGGTAGCCGGGAGCAGGATCTGGTGCGCAGAGGGCCCTCCCCGACCCGACCAGCTTCGGAGCGCTGATTGCGAACTTGAACAGAACTCCTTCCCTCTCCGGCATCCCTCACCGCCCGGTTGGCGGCCACCAGCCCCGCCATCTCAGCCCCATGCCTTCCGCCAGTGCCACTGTCGCTGCTAACACCGCACACTAATGCATTGTGGAGGGAAGGGGGGAATCCCCAACACAACCAAACTGCGGCCAAAAGCCCCCCTAAAAAAAAAAGAGAAAGAAAGAAATTCCTTCTCCTGAGACCGATTCTCTTAACCGGCGTGGAAAACCCCCAAACAGGCAAATTCGCTACTCCAGCCAAGATCGCGGCGCGGGAGGAGGGGTGCCTGCGGCGGGCGGCGACCCCCACCGGCAACCCAGGCTCCGGGGCAGGTCTGAGCGCGGCTGCGGGCTGGGGGCTCGGGGAGTCCTCCCACCCGGAGCAGCCTGCCGAGGACACAAAGCTCCGCCGCCAACAATACCTGCGGGCTCCTCCTGGGTCTCCCGGGCGCCGGCGCCGAGTGTCTCGCCGTCTCTCTTTCCCCCGCCGTCTCTCTCCTCCTCTCTCGCGCGCTCTCCCCCTCGCCTCTTCCAGAACGCGGCGGCCAGATGAGATCCTTAGGAGAAAAAAATGTGAGCGCTCGCACGATTCCTTTCTCTCGCCAGCCGGTCGTGGCGGCCCTGGGCTAGCTCCTCTCCCTCGCGCTCTCGCGCGCGCCGCGCCTCTCGCGCCCAGCGTTTCCTTCTCAGCAGTCCTTGCGAGCGCCCTCAGTAGCCATTATTCACAGGCCGCCGGGGGACAGGAGGTAATTAGAGCCGGCCCCACGGCCGCATCCACTCGGCAAGCGCGATGCGGGCGCGGGGCGCGCGCGGGGAGGGGCGCGCGACGAGGGGGCTTGGCTGCGCGCAGCCCGCGCC